ACTCCGCCAATACTCATCGTACCACCCAGGTTTCTTTAGGATATATAGTACTCAATGTAGGCTACAAACTGGCAATATTTGTGGTGGTTACTCATCCCTAAAAGCAAAAGATCGGTAGAAGTTGGCATTGTATCTCATAAATTTCATCTTTCGGACACATTGTTAGACATATCAGTTGAAGATCAGATTTACTTTATATGGATTATTAAGTTCGTATGGAGAATGTGGTAAAGCTTTATGAACAAAGCTGTCTACTTCTTGGCAGATATTAACGCTCGTAATTTGCTATATTTAATATTATTGGTAGTCAATGAACAGTTGTTATCAGAGGCATCCTGAGTTTTCCTGTTCAATTTTTAAGTGTGCAAATCAACACTTAACTCCGTAAAAGATTATTTAAAAGTTGGAAGTCACTTAAATTTTGACTAGATATTGCAGCTGTCTTTAATCTGAAATCTCTTAAATAATCAAACAGTATGAAAATCAAACACAGAAGGTTTTGTAGAGCCTACCGCTTGACCATTGAGTTTCTTTAAACTTTATTTTAGTATCTGAAAACAGCAAACAAAAAGAGTCTCATCCTCTTCGATCCGTTCATTACATATATGTACAGTTAAGTGACATTTAGTAAAGCAATGTGAGAGAAGCGATTATCTCTCTTCTCAGAATAATGTCCTAACGATATTTCTGACGAAACATATATTTCACTCCAGGCACTAATCACGTATCATTTTAAATAAAAGGCATTCGTTGTTTTTCTTTTTTTTTGTTTTGATGGACATGAATTGAAAATCAGAATGGCGAATATAATTCGATAATGATCTTTTTTCTTTTTTCTCCTCGTATCTCTAACACATTCTCTCATCTGTTATTACGTTATGTGATGAGTTTTCACTATTATCATAAAAGAATATATATAATTCTCGTCACATCTATCGCACATCACATCACTGATATCATGCAAAGGATTAATAGCGTCAACATGTCCACTTGTTTCTCATCCATAACGATAGAATTCAAAAATCCTTTAATATACTAGGCAAGACTGTACTATAGAAGGTCATACTATAAACGAGAGACAAATCGATTGCCGACTCCGGTATTTTGCTCTTAAGAAACTATAAGGATCACTAAAATCGATAGAACCGTCCTTCTCTACAATTACTTTGCATTTGCCGCGAAGATAATCTTCTATTATACCATAAGCAAGATCAGTAGAGGGTTTAGAGTGCTAACAGTCCCAGTACCGAAATTTTTGATTTCATACTATTATACTCTCCTTCTTGTGCGACGTGTCGAACGCGAAAGAAGTAAAAAGCGTGTCGTCTAAAAACTCAAGTAAAGTTGTAAAATTTGCTCTCTTGTACAAATCCATCAGCATCGAAAAATTTTTCTAGATCCGCCACTGAACAAGATCTGGCAGAGATCGTACACTGTTTCTTTTTGTGAAGAAATTGAATATTTTACAAATAAAGAACGTATTTTTTAGCAACAGTCATAGTTTTTTCTGCATATTCTACTCATTGAACAACTGAAACAATATTTAGATTTTCATTTTGTCAGCGAAGAAAGAGTTTATCTATTTGTCTCTTTACCACCGGTATCACTTTTTTCTGTAAGTGTCTTCTTTACTTCTGTACCTTCCAGCTACAGGACAATTATCAAACGATTAATAACAACACCTATTTAATGTTGCCACTTAACGATGTTTTGTAAGAAAAATTCTATATGAAATCTTTTCATAATGGTCAGACTGGTATAACATGGCATAAAGAAGCCATTATTTACTTCTAGTACAACATTGCATCCGTTGCACCTATACAGTTAAGATGGAGAATGTTAGCTGTCTGTTTGGAGTATATTACACGTTCATTTCGTTTCCTTCTCCTTTTATTATGTTTTTTAGTGAATCCTTTGATTTCACTGAAATAACACATTTCAGATTTTAATACACATCATTCTCCTGTTATTATCTCATTTAACCAATGAGATACGTTTTATTCTTTTCTTTTCTATGGTAACAAATAAAAAAATTTGATTGATCTATTCATGTGGAAGAAATGAACAATATGTGCTCTTTCTCAACAAGTATCTAATACAGAGCAAATTTTATTTTGTATTTATCACCAATGATCGAGCAGATTGTGGCTCATAATAATAGAGAAAGGGGATAATGATCTATTGATAATCCTCGTTCTACATGCACACGCACAGTTTACCTTTTGACTCTTTCACTTTGAGAATGTGTGAAGAGTTCTACTTCACTGACTTGTATATTTGTCGTATAAGATCGTATTAACACGTAGATATTTCTCGTGTGTGTTTGGGTAAGTGTCAATTCAACTATTGTCACTGATGAACAGGTTAGATACATAACAAGAAACAAGTGCCAATCAGCACTAGTTATGTTATTGTCGATCAGTGTAATGTAAGAAAATCACTCGAAAAATAGTCCTAAAAACGAATACAGTCCATCTTGGATGATCTGATAACATTAGATCAAAAAGCGTTTAGTAAATGCATATTTTAATCATTTGTAGAAGGCACTATGTTAAATTTGTCCTCTACCGAAAGTAATATGAGAAAAAAAGACAATGTAGATACATCATATTTAAAATTTTTTGCATTTGTAATATTATTATGAATGAGCAACCGAAAAATGTTCATTTCTATCTATCGCTGTCTACTTCGAAATACAATCGCACGCTTAGCTGATTTGTTCGTTTGATCTTAAAATATCGACACTTGGTTGACGTCAAACAGATATTTTGGATGGATATGAATATATATATTACATTACTTATAGATACACTTTTGTTTCCGATAGTTTTCCTTTTTGACGAATGAGACAAAGAAAGAAAAAAGAAAATACTCAATAACAAAGTATATTTTTTTATAATACGTTTGATAAAAGGTGAGGGTGTATTTTGATATGTTTGTATTTAAGGTATATAGTGGTTAATCATATAATCGAATCACATTTGCACTAAATTTTCTTACAAGTGACTGTTTGAGTTTAATTTTATTGGATCGAGTAAGTGAGTTAATGATTATTGTAGACAAATAAGAGTAGCAGTAATCATTAAGAGGGAAATTGCGAACGATACGATATACTTACTAATAATAACCCTATGATTATGTAAAATCTTATTAGTCTGACATTTGAGGCATTAGTAAATTAACGTTAGAACCTCGAATGTTTACTTACTCTGTCAGAAGATTATTACACCGATTAGATATTTTTTTGATTACATTTTATATACATATTATTTACCATTAAAAACAAAACCCTTTTTCATAAGATGACAAACTTCTGATTTCTCTCTCTCTAGCCGCATTTTATCCGATTAGACTTATTATGACACCATGCCTGCTACTGTTATGAGTATAAAGTAAATCTAAAACATAGCCTTACACAAACTACATGAAATTTCGAGTTAAATATTCCGAGATCTTTAACGTAATGAGCGATTCTTTCTTCAATTAAGCGATAACATCCGTTTGAAATGGACTGGTTGCTCTAATGTCTCTAATGTCAAGGAGATTTTGATCGAGTTTAATAATAAAAAAAGAAAACACCTTTTCTTTAATCGAGTTAAGATTAGCATCGCCCTTAATCGTTCTGCTTGTCGTAGATATTCGAAGAAATACAAATAATATATTGGAACTATAAAAAACTTGTGTAAGAATATCTCTCACAAAAACGCATATTTGTTGTGTTTCTTTTTATACTGTTTATGACAATGTAGGATTGAACAAATCAGAAAAAGTAATATTGACAGTCTATTTGGTTAAGTTTACATATCAACGTGACATTTTTGTCCCTTTGGCATCAAAATAATTGATATTAAATATAAGTAAGTATACAAGTTGTTTGTGTGTCCTTCAGAATTTTTTAATAAGAATAATTATTGGGTTCTTTAGCAGTGAGATAAGTGGTGTTCAAGTAGAATACTTGTACAACAATTATTATACAGTAAAAGAACATTCATAAATCTCTAATCTTAAATTTCAGGTTAATGATTAGAAAGGTATACACATAGAGGTTTATGTATAATGTACAACCAAAAAGTAAGAATTTCAGATTGTCATAGAAATAAGTATATTATATGAATGAACATCGATTTTAACAAATTTCATGATTTATACTAACTTTTCAATAATAGCTTTTTCCGAAAATAGATCGTTCTATTATGAAAATTTTTTAGCCTATCTTTTGTACCTTTCTTTTTCTTCTTTTAATTTATGATTTCAAATCCAAATATCTACTAATTAACAGAATGTTCTAATCAATTTTTATTCTTTTTTTCAGATTTTTTAACATTAGCAAAAAATTTTGAAAGATAGAAAACTGGTAGGTTGAGAACATATACTATTAGGTAGACTGTCTGCTAACTTCTAACATACAATTGTACTAAATAGAATACATATATTTAATTGAATATTCTACTTCTTTTTTCTTTTTTTTAAAGATCTTCAACTGTCTGTGGAATCATTTTTGTTTAATAGTGAGTATTATTTATCAATCTTTTTTTCTCTTTCTCTATTGATAAACAAATACGATAAGAATATTGTACACGAATTAGTTTTTGAAATCTTTGGTCATTGATGCCAAATGACAGTTTTTCTATTAGTTTTTTCTTTTATAAATGAAAGAAAAAGCTTATCACTGTAATAACTGATTAATTTAATTAAAATAGTTTATTTTTTTTCCTTTCCCACTTAGCTAGAGTCAAAAAGCCTTATAAAGTATATTTTTTTCTTTTGCTCTGATCCCAAAGGAATGAATTATCATCATCACCATCATCAATGTTTTTTAAATAACTTTCATTTAAGAGCAAAAAAAAAATAATATCCTTATTTAAATAAGATAATAGAAAGATAATTTGTTGGTGGCAAAAATGAGACTAGAATTGTTAGAGGAAAAAGATCTTTATGTTCGTTTTACACACAGATTATAAGCGTCTAAATGAATGTGTTGCATTTAAATGCCTCATTTGATGTATAGAATTATTTTAGAAGGTATGCTAACAATGATCAAGATAATTAAAAATTGTTTATTTACTATATGAGTTTTTTTTTCACATCATTAGTCTTTCTTATCATCATAATGTCTGTACTGTTGTGTCCACATCTTAGCATACTAATCACACGACTATTCAATAATAATTTTTTTTAGACAGTGAAATTTTAAAATTTAACTAACTGTTTATTAAAAAATTATAGAATACATTTTTCTTTTTTTGTATAGGTCATAGCGGAGTAAATCAGCTTGGTGGTGTTTTTGTGAACGGGAGTAAGTTGTTTTAGTTATAGAAAATTAATTTGTCGTTATTATTTTTTTCTCATACTTAACCATTAGTCTATTTGAATGATTTTAGGACCATTACCCCAAACAATTCGACAAAAAATCGTCGAACTGGCTCGCCAAGGTGCTAGACCTTGTGAAATATCACGCAAATTACAAGGCAATCTAATTCTGATATTATTTGCATTCATATTATAACTTGTCCCATTTTTTACTATAGTTTCAAATGGTTGCGTGAGTAAAATCTTGGGAAGATTTTATGAAACTGGTTCAATTAAACCTCGTGCCATTGGTGGTTCGAAACCTCGTGTGGCCACACCAGATGTTGTATCAAAAATTGCTCAAATAAAAGGTGAAAATCCATCGATATTTGCTTGGGAAATTCGTGAACGTTTATTAAACGATGGTATATGTACACAAGATAATTTGCCTAGTGTAAGTTATTACAATATAATACATGACTAGTCGTTTCATCTAATCGTCTAGTGATATTTAGGTATCATCAATTAATCGTGTACTTAGAAATTTACAATCAAAGTCAACTGATCATTATTCAAAAGAATTGCATTACGATCGACAATGTCTAATAAATCCACCATTATGGTCGATGGTGAACAATACACAGCCTTGGCAACAGCAATCAACATCTTCTATCCGTACAAAAGATAAAAAAAGTAAAATAAAAATAAATGAAAATATAGAAAAGTGGAAAATAGCGGTATACCCTTTAAATTAAAAATTTTACTTATTTCGAAGGTGACGATTCAATTGGAATAAAATTCTCGGATCCTATGCAAGTTCAAAATGACGGTGAAGATAGCGACAATGAATATATCACATCACAAAAACAAAAAACACAGCGAAATCGAACAGCTTTTACTCAAAATCAAATATCAGCACTTGAAAAGGGTTTGACATCTGTCTATAAAAATATTTGAACTTTTTATCTATTTTCATTTTTTCTAGAATTTGAGCATACACATTATCCGGATGTTTATGTAAGAGAACGTCTTGCCAAACATATTAGTCTACCAGAAAATAGAATTCAGGTAAGTCTATGTGCTACTTGTTTTAAAATAGTTAATGAACTGTTTTCTAATTTTTTTAAGGTGTGGTTTTCTAATCGTCGTGCAAAATGGCGTCGTGAAGAAAAAGCAAGAAATCAACGCCGTAATGTCAATGCAAGTGAATCAAATCCTGTTTCCAATCCAGGATCAACAATTACTACTGATCATTCGACACCACCTTCATCTTTAAATCAAACACCTCCACCACCATACACAATTGAAAATACAAATGAGGTTTTAAATCCCTATTTAAACTCAACTCTTACAGTAGGAGCATCACCATCATCGAAATGTTTCACATATCCATCGATGCCATCATCATACGATTGTTCATCGTCATCATATCCATGTATATTACCAGGTAACTATTCTGAAAACTGAGTCTTGAAATCGTTATTCTTTACATATTACATTTATCTTAAGAACAGAAAAAAGTATTCTCAAAAATTTTTGTTTTAGACAGTTGAGATTAATTGAACAGGTCCCTGTCATCATTTATCATCCATTGAAATTTTTTTTTATTTTCTACTGAAACATGGTGAACATAACGAAAGTATTGCGCATCTTTCTACAGAATGTTCTGCAATGATATATAACATAATCTAATTCAAATGCTCCATTAAGAAATCCCAGTGCTACCTAAAGTCGTTGTTTTGTCCAAACTTAAAAAAGAAACTTTGTTTATTCTAAATCTTCCAGCATCTTGCTGAAAATTAGATGAATCACATATTCTCACTTCTTGTCGATAAAAATGCCTAAAGAAAATGGGTGTAAGCCACATGTGGAAAAAGCTTAGAGTTATCTTTTCTTTTATCGTGATAGGAAACTGTCAAGGCTCCAAACTGGTCCTGTTTTGAGAAATTCATGATTCAGCTTGATCAGAAGACTACCGAAAAGATCTTTAAAATTTACTCTCATTCTGTAGAAAATTGCTGATCATGAATTTTAGAACTAGTTATTACTACATTTTTGACCAGAAATCAAATCAGTGGTGAAAGACAATGAGCAAGAAATTCAAAAAAGGATTAAGATCAATTTTCAGACTTTAAGATTTGTCTCAGTTTAAAACCTGTTCTTTGTCGTTGTTACCAAAATACGAGAAAAATGTATACTATTGTATGATCCATAATCATTTTGCTCATTTTACAACCTATAATCCTTATCCGAAGTTTATATTTTGAAACTTAAATCAAAAATAGAAAAGCAATAACGAAACATCGCCTACTATGGAAGGATGGACTTTAGGTTTGTTTCAACTATCCATATTTTTATTTTTTATAGGAGCAAGTTGTTACGAAGATCTCTCATTTCCTACACCGCCCTATTCTCGGCCAACATATCAAGACTATAATCATCTTTCATCGAATGTTATGAGTCAATCATGTAAGTTCAATTAATTGTAATCGACTAAAACTTAAATATTTTTTTGTATTTAGCCTTTATTCATAGTCAGATACCGCTTTCCACACCTGTACGATCAAATAATCAAAATCCTACGTTTTGGAATCGGTTTTAGAACGACAAAAGAATAAACAATCTCATTCTTTGCTTCAAAAGCTAGTGACTTCTTCTTCTTAACTAATTTTATGTCTTTTCTGTTACTCAACTGCAAAAATAATAGATAAAGTTTTACTTTTATTTTGTAGATATTTAATAATTTGTGCGCTTTTTTTGTTCTTTTGATAAAATGTGACGGTCATTTTGCTCTTCGAAAAATATAATATTAGATTTTATAATCAACAATTAAGAAGGGCAAAAAATTCGAGAAAAAATGTGCAAAATCGCATTTTTTAGCATTAGCACACGTGGAAAATAAACTTATTTCATGAAAAGCGATTACAATTAACTCAAACTTTCGAAATTTTTGAAACAGTGGTTCTAGATGTGTTATCGCGAACGGTCCATTTTGTATTTTTCAAAGAACATGAAGGGTTACACAGATGGACGCTTTGTCTATTAGAAAATTTGCAATATTATTTTCAATCTACCATAGATGTATAGATGCTTTGAATACAAAGTATTTGAATATAACTCTATATAACGAAGTTTTACGTTAAAAAAAGTACATCTATTGTTTAGCTTGGATTACTGCAAAGATAATGTCCATTTTTTAACTTTCAAAAGCCATAATTGTTAAGAAATCACAATAATAATTACTACTTTTTTTTATTGTAAGTGCTATGTGTTGTTTTTAAATTTGGATCAATCTTTAATAACTATTTGATAGAATAAAATGTATATCGTCTCTCTAGATCATTGCTCAGCGTTTTAAGATGTGTATATATTTATTGATATTGGCTAATCAAGCGTTAATCTCTTATTGGCTGTCAAATGGGTCGTTAAGTGTACAAAAGCAACTATTGCTTGTCTGTTCAATATTTTGACAAAAGAATAAGTTAAAAAGTCTCAAATGATAATCGGTATATACATTATTAGAATGAAACAAAAACAAGGAGATAAAACATCCAACAACTAAGAGTAAAACCAGACATTTAAAAGGGGAAAATTATTTTTTGTGCCCAGAATTAAGTATTTTTGTGCCCGGTTAGCTTGATTTGTGTCCGAACCGGGCATATTTAACTGTTTTTACATTTTTGTGCCCGGAAATAGAAAAGCGCTCAGAACTTCTTTTCTTTGTGCCTGACTTTACTCAAGAAAGAACAATCTTTTTTTAAATCATCCATCCACCATCTTTAATGATCAGCAGCAAAACAGAATAAATACATTGTCTTTAAACATTATATTAAGCATTGTTTTTTAAGATGGCGTCATTATGATGTCAAATATTTCGTCTGTTTTGTTTTCTTTGTTCGTGTATAGCGCTTGTTCAGGTTTGATCTAATGTTGTGCATTCTCAGTCTTCTTAAGTAATATGGTCCGTTATGACATATCGATGTACTGAATGTAGAAAGTACCCACAAAATGATGTACAAATACGTGCTGTTTTTAATGCTGACAATGAAATTATAGTCTCAATATCAAGTTCACATAATCACAATATTCGTGCTCCCACCAAAAAAGATTGTTCTTTCTTAATTAAAGTCGGGCACAAATAACAGAAATTCTGGGCACAAAAGTGTGAAAACATTTAAATATGCCCGGTTCGGACACAAATCAAGCTAACTGGGCACAAAAATGCTTAATTCCGGGAAACAAAAAAATGTTCGTCCATTTAAAAGGCTTAAGCATTAAAAATATGATACGTTTGCGTAATAGAAGAGATTGCGAAGCGCCTGTGACTTGAAATATTACTACTTAAATCTTTCCGAAATACTAATTTTCTGTTTTCGTTTGAATATCGAATAAATCTGTTTTCAGATAGAATTAAAGTAATTTAACAAAGGATGCCATAAGTGAAGAAAAGTTTCGAATTAAGAAATCTATTGTAAGACTTACATATATATAAAGATTAACGCATAGTGTGTTATGGTTGGGTTACTTTCCAAGCGATTTCTCTCTTCACAGTTGCAAGCTTTCATCATGAATCTGATTTAGACACTTCGTCATTAAACGTTTGCGTATAATAAGAAAAAAGTAATATTCATTTTGACTTGATTCAAGGCATCGTAAAATTATTTATCAGAGGTACTAAAAATAGTTTCCTCGTGTTTTTTGTTCGAGTACCAGACGGGAAATGTGGTGAGAAGAATTGAGTTTTCTAAACCTCGCATCAGTGGAATCAATTTTATCAGACAAAGACTAATAAGTACCAAGTCGATATTTAGCGATGAATTTACAGAATATCGTGGCTTTATAAAACTAGAAAAAGTTTTAGACAGAGAAACGTTACGAGTTATACAAAAGAATGAAATCAGATTTGAAAAATTACCGTTCTCGCACATTTTACATTCTTTTTCCCTTACATCGAAAATAAAAACCAATGGAGTCGTATGGGATAATTCGAGTCACTTGCAAAATGTTTCTTAGTATTTGGCGTATTTCTAAGCTGTGTTGATTGGATAAGAGTGGTATTGAGTATGAAGGCACAACTAACAGTCAGAGTCACAAATAACGTGAGGGTGTGGGAGGGTGCGCACCCCTCGAATAACTGAAAAAACTGTTGTTATTTTATCCATTATTCGGCGCATAAAATTTTTTTTATCAGTTTCACCCCATCTCAAAGAGAAATTTTGTTTTACACCCCCTAGTGTTCTACACTACTTGCGGCCCTGCTAACACTTCTCTACCCGATGATGTAAAAGTCTCCTAAAAATCCCTGTACGTTCTCACGCAGTATTCAAAAGGAGACAGGGACTTCCACACTGGCCCGAATTACCCTATTTGGGATAATTCGGGCCAAAAAGCTCTTTGATTGGGGTAATTCGGGTCGGTTCATCCCAATGCATGGAGTTTTAATTACAAGATCTCTTCTGATTAAGGATAAAGTCTTAATCACATACAAATTACACTAGTTTGAAGCGCTTCTCTCCTACCTCCCGTACAAAGTTGAAGTTATTAAGATATAATAACGAATGGTCTTATTTTTTCATTTTTTTCGACTAGGATAATTCGGGCTGACAAGCTATTTTGCTTGGGGTTATTTGAGTCAATTTGATGGTCACTGTCTCCTTTTGAATCCTGCTCGAGAACGAACATACAGGGGTTTTTAGGGGACTTTTACATCAGCCGATAGAGAACTGTTAGTTGTACTTTCATATTCAATAGCACGCTTATCCAGTCAAACACGGCTTAGAAGTGCACCAAATACTAAGAAACTTTGTGCAAGTGGTTCGAAACAAGGCTAAATTAGATGTTTTCAAGTATGAAAACGCAGGTTATACATCGAGAAAAGAAGTTTTACTCCAAAGATTCGTGATATTATAGAATAATTTCTTGTCCTATACTGAGAAGTTCCCATTGATTTTAGTCGAATTCAATTTGTTGGATTTCCGCGGATCCAGTTCATGGGCATTATCGAATCCTTCAGCTGGAAATAGTCAGATGTGAAAAAAATAATTCCGGATTTTTATAGCCGCGTCAGGTTGGAATCTGGCAGCTACAAAATGTCGGAATTATGCTGGAGTTTGACGGATCTGAACTGTTGTTTTTGACGTGGATAGATATAACAGATACTAATTGGAAAATGAAGTAGGATATAGTGCAGAATTATGCGAGAAAATCCAGCGATTTCGTCTAAGACCCAACAGGATTTGATCTTTTCTGATGATAAATCCTCTCGGATTCTGTGACATTTGATAGTTCTAGTTTGTTTTAGATCGAAGAATAAAATCTTGTATCATCAACCAACATTACCTTTTCTACATGTTAAAAATACCTGCACAAATAGTGCTTTATAAAAGTTAACCAGGAAAAATACTCGATAAAACTAGTGCAAATCTAAGTATTTTCTCTTTGCTTAAAGAAACTTAAAAGTCTTTTTTCTTCGACGTACTCATATACTCTTTCATCAATTTCGAAGCTAATCTGCTTCGCGAACTTCTCGAAATATTTTCAAGAGGAGGTCCATGTAATAAACGAATACCACAAGAAAACAAGGCGATAAAAGAAATAAGATTAGGACTGAAAAATGATATAAATGTTGGAATAATACTATATGATAATATATTACGTAGTTCAGTTCCTTTTACATGTGCCAATTGACTGATTCCATGCACTGTTCTACTAAAAAAATGTGGAAACTTTTGTTCTGTTAATTGTGCATCAAGTAACACACGTTCTGTTGGACGTAAATTATTTGATAAATGCATCAACATTGTTTTCTCCAGCTCTATTTTCTGCAAGAGCTATGAGCGTAATCCAAACAGGTTCTTTTATTCTGTGATAAATGCATCAACATTGTTTTCGTTTGTCTGAGCAGTGTAGTGTGTAAATAATCAATCATAATACATTCAGGGAATTGTCGATTAAACAAATCGAATAAAACTGGTCGATCAAAGTGTCCATAGCAATCTTTTCCAGGACGACCTTCCGAAGAAAATTGCTCGAATGAAATAGCATCTCGCATAACGAGTACTTGCTCAGAAAGATAAAGCATTTTTCCCTGTGACACACCTAAATGGAAAGTTAAAGTGTTAAACATAAGTATCGAAACAAACTCACGCATTTATACTCGGTTACAAACTCTAAAACTTAAATTTATTGAATCCTAGTCGAATGAAAATTCTTTTACTGCAAAAACAGAAGTGCAATATTCGTATTATAGTAATATTTTTCTTCAAAGGAGTTAATTAGGCTAATTAGTGGGAAGACAAGTGCAGCAATAGTAGAAAACTAAGAGTAAGAATAAATCTAGATAAAGGGACAAGTGCTTTCTTTTTGCTTCACTGAGAACTGTACTACTGACCTCCAATATTACGCTAGCTTTTCAAAACAAATTAACTAACTTTAAAAAACTACAAGTTTTTTCAAGTGAAAGAACAGGCTCTCTTAGGTTGACTTAGGTTTGATTCTACAAAAAACTTAGTTCTCAGTAAAAAGTAAGTAGTGAGTTCGAAATTAATCTTCATAAAAGATTGCTACAGAGAGAAAATGCGAAGTTTGTATCGATACATGCACAAATAAGTACCTTAGCGAAACAACAGAAACATGCATGATAACATGCATGACCTTTAAAATTCAATGCCAATGCAAGAGCTGGCAAATCATCAATTAATGCAAAATAAACAATGTTGAAGAAATGTATATTTAAGTTATCTGACTCAATTGAAATGCTAGATATTTTTAATTTATTTAACTCTTCAACCACATGTTGCAACCAAATAGTGGCATTTGGTTTCCAAAAGCTGCAGACGATAGAATTATATTTTTATGACGTTTTCTAATAGATGGTCTTAGTTCAACTATGGAAACTCAAAACGTCCATAAACAAAATTTAGTGGATTTAACTAAAGGAAATCCATTTAGATGAAAAATTAAAGATATAAATGGATGATTATTATGTGTTTCTTTTAATTTTCTATATCTTTCACCGATAATTATATCATTGTCAAATATTGGTGAAGTTTGATTTGAATAATAATCTATTTCAGAAAGATTACGTTTAATGAGGCCTCGTCGAATTAATTCTAAAAATCTTTCATTGGTTTCACCTGTTATTACATTAGTGTATGGATGAAGTGGACGAAGGTCACGATTGTATATACTGAAATATCTGTTTTCATCCTCATCCATGTAATTGTGAACATCATTATCAATGTTGATATCGTCTGTTAGAAAATCGTTTAATCGTTCATTGCGAGTGTTGTCATCGATAGAATCAAAAAGATATTCCTCTGAATCGGATGAATTTGATGAACTTATTCTTAGTTCTTCGTTTTGTAAATCAAACTGAGACATATTATTTTGATCCGGTGAAGGAGATGGTGTGACAGATGATGAACTTTCGACGAAATGTGACGAAACAGAAAAGTTATCATTTATTCTATTTTTTAATAGTGATCTTTCTCGTCCTTTTATTGAATTATCGCTGGCAGTGGCAGCAATCAAATTCCACATAGTTTCTGAAAACACGATAAGTGATGAGAAAAGTGTCTTGAGCATTCAAAAAAAGATCAGTGTCTTTGACAAAATAAAATAAAAACCTGAGACATACACCTGAGAAATGCTGTTTGCATTTACGTTTCTTTAATTTTTTTTTTATGAAGAAAGGAATCAAATCGAAATTGATAATATAAAAAAGAAACAAATAAACATTTAAGTCCCTTACTCACAACTACGTCCCTATCCGATCAACACGACTTACATAGAGAGCTACTAAAATTTTGTTATTTACATAAAAGAAAACAAATACTTTTACTATATCTTTTTTATTGAAAATTTTCCAGAAAAAATCGAAAATAATGAAATCGAAGGACAGCGGTAGCATGGCATGAACTCGACGTATAAAAAACGTTAGAAAATCTAAAAAACCTGAAAAAGAAAGAATTGGACGTTAAATTTATTGCTTGAAAGAGAAAAATACCGAAAGTAAGGTGTTCTGCATCGCTTTGAGTAATTGAGAAGAAAATCACGTAATTCTATAGCTAAGACAGTTCATGAATAATTTGCTCGAAATCTTTATTGAAACTTTTACGTTTTCTTTCTCACACTTTGAAACACAGCACTTCGCTCATTTCACGCAATTATTGAAATAAAGTCATTTGAGCGAAAAAGGTGGACAATATCAGCAGAAGAAATGAACTGAATGCTCGAAATTTTTAGTCTAAATTTTTGTCTAAATCGCTAATGCATCGAAAATAAAGAACAGGTAAACAAACAATTAAGGACATCCATATAGAGGAATAAGACAATAATAAATGACCTAACGCAATTGTCAATGAATAGTACACTGTAAATTCATGTATCCCATTAGTGGGTGACTGCGCTAATTCATTTAGAAAAGTGGGTGAATTTCATCCACATTAGTGGGTGACGGTCACCCATCTGATTAACAGTTTTCACTCTTTTAAGTGGGTGATCTGAAATTCACCC